TATAACCACATATTTATCTAAATCAGCAATATTTAATTCAAAGTCTTTATGCAGCGCTCTGTAGCAACACATTGAAATGTCTTCTCTAAGGCACTCTGATTGGATTCCCTTCTAACTATCTGTGTAAGGTAATGTACATAAAAGTAGTCATAAGCTATGATGGCCCATTGGTTAATTCACTGAATTCCTCAGATAGCTTTCCTTTAGATAATGTATGTGAATGTGTTTTACTAATTTGGGATATGAAATATGTATTGATGTTACAAACTTGTGTGCATCTTTCTGATTTTTTTTTTTTTTTTGTGCTTGCAGGCGATAGATGATGATGGGAACGGACATAGCACAGTTGCTTCCCTCATGATATCTGTATTAGACAGCAATGATAACACCCCACAGTTCACCAATCAGAACTATCAAATTACAATTGACGAGGGTGCCACTAAATTTGAACCTCCTCTTCAGGTCCAGGTATGATTGCTGTGGAAAATGTGTAAACAGTGGAACCTGTCAAAAGTGGAACATGGATTAATTGTAAACTCGTCTTAATAAGTAAATCTTTCTGACACAAGAAATGCAGATTGAAATCTAATGTAATATTACCTCTAATAAAAGAAAATGTTAATGGAAATTGAAATGGAAAGAAGATGATGTCTGAAACAAGCGTTTAACAGAAGAGGGTCTACCTGAATATTTATTGTTTTCTGTTCATATTATTTTGTTCCATATGGTGCTGTAATTTATGTCCGAAGGAACATGCCTTTCGCAAGTAGGAAAAATTAACCTGGGTATTGTTCTGTGTTTCTTCCAGGCACGCGATGCAGATAAAACTTCACACGTTACCTACTCAATTATCGAAGGAAATGTCAACAATTTATTTTCAATAAATCCACTGTCTGGAGAAATCACAGTGTCGGATCATCGTGGTCTTGACATGACAAATGTCTCTAATGATGTCATAGTCTTAACTGTCCAGGTCAGTTGTTTGAAAATATTTAGTGTAGATAAAAATGTAGAGTTAGGTCTCCTGAATTATTATTATTCTTATTGCGCCATCTCCGAACGAAGGTTGGCGATCCACATGGCGAACATTGTCCTCGAGACTGCCGCTCGAAAGATATCTATTGAGGTGCATCCGAACCATCTTCTTAGGTCTTTCATCCAGGAGTTTTGGGGTCTACCGATGGATCTTTTTCCTTGGATTTTGGATAGCGTACTCCTCTCATGATGTGGCCCAAATACCGGACCTTTCTTTCCTTAACGGCAAGCAGTAGTTCCTTTTGCTAATTCATGAGATTGAGAACTTCGATGTTGCTTTGATTCTTTTCTCCATGGGAGAATCAAGAGTCCAGCTCTCGCATCCATAGAGAAATGTAGAAAACACATAACATCTAAGCATTCGAATCCTCAGTTCTAGACTTAGTTTGAATCAAACGAAAAACCTCCTCTTCTACATAGTCATTTTGCTTTGTAATTAACTAAAGGGAGTTGGTAGAGGATGGAGAGTACAGGATCTTTAAGTAAACTTTCGAAGAGATTGTTATGACATTGTATTGTAATGTGCAGGCAAGTGATGGGATGTTCAGTAGTGTAGCAACAGTGACCGTCGCAGTTCACGATGTGAATAACAACCATCCTGTGTTTGGAAGAGAAAGCTATGTGGCTTCAGTACAAGAAGATGCTGCTGTTGGTAAGGATTCTTAGCTTTAACGTCATTAACATGTCCTTATTTTGTACCTTGCTCTATTCTATTGTATGTGAAGTAATAAAGGGCAATGTTACGAAAAGTGAAGGTAAATTTTGACAGATTGATTTGTATTTATGGTGTGTATAATTTCTGATGTCATAATGAAAATGTTTTGTTTGTTAAAGTGATCATGCGTATGTGCCTAATAAATACGATTTCTGTACAGTATTCCCATTAATTAAATTTCGTTATAATAATAGTGAATGTGTGTATGTTCATCATACAGAGGCTATAATAATCATACATATATTCTGTAAAATTGATTTTGTTACTAATTTGGCATAATTTTTTTTAAATATTTCCATGTATACAACAGAACATGTCTTACGTAGTTCTTGGCAGTTATACTAATATTCCTGGAGTAATTTATATGTCAAACTGAGAAAAACTTATTGTCTGTTATTTATTCTTATGCTTGTTTGATTGTGTTTTGTTGGTATTGTTTTTTCAGGCACAAGCGTAGAGCAAGTAACAGCAACGGATGCAGACTCTGGTGTGAATGCAGAAATCAAATATCGAATTCAGAAAGGAGGATTTGAAGACTTCAAAATAGATGAGGAAACTGGGGTAGTTGCAATAGCCAACAAGTTAGACTTTGACCACAGAAGCACATATAACATAGAGATCATTGCTGTTGATGGAGGTATGGGACTTCTGACTTAATTTATATTATGATTTCTCAGTAGCACATATTTATTTGTTGGTATGAGATAATATAGATAAAAATATTTTTCTTACATCCGTGACAATTTCTTAAATAGAAGTTACCCAACCTTGACCCAATCAGATAGACTGTAATTCCAGGTTTGACTTTATTATTTCACAGAAATGTAGTTATTTTATATTATTTTAAGTAAGAAATGTAACTTGAGAACTGGAGCCAATATGAGGAAGGAACACTGCTCTCGCTAGCAGACAGGAAGAGAAAACAGAAGATGTGTTCAGACTACATATATTAGTCAGGAGCAGAAGTAAGTTATAAGAATATGTCTTTTAATATTCTTTAAATTAAAATATGTTTTAGAAAAAATTGTACAATTCAGTGAGGCATATTGTATCTTATACACATTTTTGGTGTGATTATCCACTTCTGATGAATGTTAAATGTTGTTTTTGAGAACTTCAAAATCCTGTAGCGAAATGTACGACTGTCTTTTTGTTTTGTGGAGGGAATGTCGATAAAAGTGATCTAATTTATTTCTTTTCTAATATTTCAGAATTTATACTTCTCCAATTATTTTGTTAAAAGTGAATTAAATTTTTTTAAACTGAAAAGAACTTGTTCTTTTTGCAGGTTCACCTGTTTTGACTGGCACGGCCACCCTTACCATCATGGTTCTAAACAGCAATGATAAGGACCCATACTTTGACCCTTCAACACAGAGGGCAGAGGTAAGCATTGACTGATTACAGTAAACCTCATATTGTTCTCAAGATTTCAGTCTCATTAGATAACATAGAGTTATAGTTTTATATATATCCTATTGTCCATTTACCATAAGTTGCACAGAAATTATGGAAAGCATACATTACACGATATTTGTTAAAATTTCCTGAAATAATAATAACTCTGGTTTCCAAATCCACGAAAAAAGAATAGGTAGGAAAAATAATTTTAAAATGGCTGTTATGAAATAGGATATGAGGATGTGTATTGGATTCTTCTGGCACAAGGTACAAGCCAGTGGCAGGGTTTTGTGAACGTGGTAATGTATATCAGACTCCATAAATGGCCAAGTTTATGAAGTGAGTTAGTTACTTAGTTATATTTTTTAAAAGTGACTTTAATTATATTAATTTGAAGATGTTCCCCATTTTTAGGTGCAAGAAGATACATCTCCTGGAACTGTCTTCTATACTCTGATGGCTAGGGATCCTGATATGAATGGTACAGAAGGTCTTAATTTTGCTGCTGCAGAGCCAATAACAGCTGTTGACAAGAATGGCAAGCAGATTACTGATACTGAGGAATTTAAGGTATACTGGTGACTTACATCCATTTGAAAGAACTAGGTGTTGATGGAAGAAGAATAACCAACATGACAATATGAAAACGCCAATATTTTCACTAACTTTCAGAGGAACATTATGTCTGGATAGCGTCTCACTGTACTGTATTTCTTCCTGCACAGAGTTTCTTTGCTGTGGATCTGACCTCAGGTGAAGTGACTGTAATGAGAGATTTGGACAGAGACATTGCAGCTGTCGTCCGCATCACTGTTCTCGTCACTGATACGACAGCTCCTACAACTCAGCAAGGAAAAGGTATTTATGTTTACATTACCTTTTTTTTTTATGTGGCTCACAGATTTACAATTTTTTTTATATGAGTTACTGTTTGGATTTATCATCGTATTATAGACTATGCATTATTCTTTATTACAGGCACTCTGGTTATTACAATTATTGATGTGAATGACTTCGCTCCAACGTTTTCAAGACCGTGGACCAAAGAAAATCCTTATTACATGTTGAATATCCCCGAAGAGCAGCCAATTGGATCCATAGTCGATACATTTGTTGCTTCAGATGTTGATTCCAATATTGCAGCCTATGCCATAGATCCAGTCAGTGAATATTTTGAGATCAACAATGCAACAGGTAAATATTTATTTTGCTGTAGAAAGCACAGTGCCTGTGATCTCTGACTAATTGAGTAACTCCATGGAGAAAAATCCGTCACGAGATTATAACAGGCACTTGGCCAATAAGAAAGTTATCCTTTTTTTTAACCCAAAGGTTCTGTGTCTGATCCCTGTCCCTAGCCATGTAAAATCATATGGCTCACCATTTTTATATTCATTTTACAGGCGTGGTTCGAACAAGGAAGAGGATTGACTATGAAACTGTGAAAATAATTAACTTCACAGTTGTTGCATATGATTCAGGAATACCCCAGAAATCAGCCACTGCATATGTCAGTGTGAATGTCATAAACATCAATGACATGGACCCTGTCTTTTCAGAGGTATGTTGCTTATTTTGATAGACATGGAATGAATTCATATAGAGCTGACCATCTGTCTGTCTGTTTGTAGATTTAACTTGAGAACTGCTGGACGGATTTTTTATTAAATTTGTTATGGACATTATGCCATTGGGTGATACCCTACGTACTTTACAGTTTCCTACAGTCGGTAATATTAATATGGTGGTTGCACGAACTTGTGAGGTGGGAGTGACATTATTGAAATTAAATATAGTCATACAATGATGTATGGTAAAAATACACAACTTCATCACTGTAATTTTATGTAAAATACAAAATAACTATGCAGTATCTACGTGAAACAATAAAATAAATTGCTTTAACCAGGACTCAGTCCCACAACCATCTGTGCATTAGTCCAGTATACTACCACAGATCTAACACTCATTCTGTTGTATCATTATGGATTTATGTTACTCAAAGATTACATTAAAAACACTTGATTTTTAAATTTGTAAATTACAGTTCATTAAGGAAGATAAGACTTTATTTTTCATAAATAGCTAATTTATCATTAAAATTAATATGTTTCAGCCATTGTATGAAGCAACTGTAATGGAGAATGCTCTGCAGAAAACGCCAGTAATAACAGTGACTGCAAAAGATGGAGATGAGGGTGTGTTTGGATCTGTGACGTACAGCCTTGTTGGGGAACACAGCTCTGATTTCAGTGTGAACTACAAGACAGGAGAGGTGACAGTTGCAAACCCTGATGTTCTTGACAGGGAAACCACTCCTGACATCACAATCCAGGTCATGGCTAGCGATGACGCTCCACCAGAAATGAGAAGAACTGTAGCTGTTCCAGTGAGTTAACATTCACATCACAATAACTATATGCCTGCTTATCTGCTAATCATACAGATATTGATTCAGAAAATTAATTTAATGCAATGTGTGGGTAGACAGTGTTTGTAAGTTATTTAACAGTGCTGTTTCAACTGTCAAATGGTAAAAAAAGACAGTCATGAATGATGAGTGAGCAAAGATACGGATTTAAGTAGCCATGACATTTTTTGGACACTTCATTGTCTGTGTATTGTCCTTACTGTTTGCTAAAATTACCTTGTCGGCAAAGAGGAAGATATTTAATTTGGTGTCACTGTATCTTTTAAAGGTTATTCTATAAAAGAGGTGCAATAAGATTTGCCTAAAGTTTTAAATCAATTTGGCTGACTTCAAATGAGATTCTTAATGGACTTAGTGCTACTGGGACAGGTTTTTCTCTGAGTTCTTCATTCTTCCCTGCTAATCATTATTTTAACATCTCTCCATATTTATCTAGCACCACCACATGATGTGTGCAATAGCCCAGATCAAGCAGCACATTTATCATATCCTCAGTCCTAATTTAAGGGCTTGTTCTTTGTCCTGACATTTGTCTCATCTCAGAGTAAGATACTTTAGTTTAGTTTAGTGTACCTTAATAATAATAATCCGTGGCGTAACAGCCCTCTGAGAGCCGAAGCCGACTAGCTGGCTGCTGGCCTCACGTTCACATGCCTAAGCAGAGGTGAACGATCATCCAACCAAATATAGGGTGACGTGTGGTCAGCACAATGAACCCCCAGCCATTGCTAGTTTTCATGACCGGATTACGCTACCCATTGTAGCTCCCCAATTTCCTCATGATGCTGGGTTAGCACCAGTCCTATACACCGGTCGAAAATCTCATGAGAAATTTCTGTCCCCGAGACTCGAACCAGCGTGCATTCCATATCACCGGTCTGAAGCATGTTGCCTCAGACCGCGCGGCTACGGCGCAGGACTTAGTGTACCTTACTTTAGTAAGATTTTAGGTTTTCACAGCGGTGAGTATGAAGATTTCTGTCTTCTGGGTTGTTGCACCATGTAGTCTGGTCGATGCTAACCAACATTTCAGGCCCTGATGACAGAGGCAGTATGACCTCTGAAACGTTGGTTAGCATCGACCAGACTACACGGTGCAACAACCCAGAAGACAGAAATCTACCTTACTTTAGTTTAATTTAATGTTCCTTCTTAAAGTTTCAAAGATCAAAATGTTATCACTGTACAGATACACATTCGTCTGATAGATGCCAACGACAACACTCCAGTATTTATCCAGAAAAGATATCAGGCTTCTGTTATGGAGAACCTGCGTCTAGATCCTCCAGCACCAATATTGCAAGTTCACGCTGAAGATCTTGATGAGGGAAACAATGGTGCAGTAAGTTACACCATTACATCTGGTAATGAAGGTGGTGAGTGTACATGTCACATTACAAACTTTTTTTTTTTAATTGTTAAGTTTTTGATGGAATTGCCCCATTTCTCCTCTTTTTACACTCTCTTGTATTTTGATCAGAATTCTGTTTTAGCTGTATTCAGTCAAAATCAGACTTCTGCGAATGCTTGAGTGTAAATACTAGTGCATGAGATGGAGAGTTCAGATGTGGTGATGGTGTAAACCATTGCTATTATGTTACTAAAGAAATTACAGATTGACTGCCAAGTCTGTTCTTCCACGGTAACCCACTTTTTATGAGTGGTTATTGTGTAACACTTATGGTTAAGAAGTGGTGTGCCACTTGTTTTAAATAACAAATGATTAATCTTCAACAGCTTTATTGCCCAAATGTTGTCTCTATTGCAGGAGTCTTTAAAATGGACCCTGAAACTGGAATTTTATATCCAGCTGAGTCATTAGAAGGAAAAGCACGCGAGTTCCATCTGGTGGTGGAAGGGCGAGATGAGGAAGGGAATGGTCCACACGCTGATAAAACGATCATTGATATTGAAATTCGGGATGTGAACCAGAATAAACCAGTCTTCATCATGCCTTCACTACCCAATGCAACTATAGAGGTCCCTGAAGTACGTGCTGTTTCTTCTGTACAGTTGTTAAAAGATTATCTTATCACTGAATCCTACAAGCCACACTGACCCTGGCCACACGACCGCAGTGTGATGCGTCAGTTGCCCCAATGGAGCCGGAAGAAGCCGTTGCGATCTGTGTTCTCTCACCTTCATAATTCTATGACGGACGTCGCGATGTGCGTTACAACGGACATACTTTGTACAGTCGTGTGGCCCCAGCCACTCAGTAATATGACTGGTTAGAGAATATAATGTTAAGGCTAAGTTCAGTTATGTATGACAATTTGGTTCATAGTAAAAGAACTGTTTTTGTGTCTCCTGATAAATTGCATTTTTTCCAGATTCAAAACTCTCCTTTTGGGTCGTGTAAAGATATAGTTTGTTTTAATTGAAATAGAAACAAAATAAATTTTCCATAATACATCATTTGGGAATGGATACTCCAAGAGACATTTATTTTATTAATTTATTGTTATGAAACTAATATATAGGGAATTATCAAGTAGGACAAAGAGTAAATGATTGATCAGTGCAGTAATTACTTGTATAACATGTATTTGAAATGGTTTACTATGGGGAGCTCATTTTTGCCCTCAGATCTTAAAACTGTGTAAAATCTTCCTCTAAATATTCTGGTTATTGTCTCACGCATTCTAATATTTCTGTTACAGAATGCAGGGCTTCCAAATTTCTTGGTAATTACTGTGAAAGCAACTGATAAAGACCAAGGGGAGAATGGACAGATTAGTTATCACTTCAAAGTTGGGAATGAGAATGTACAAGAAACAGAGGAGTTTGCCATCAATGCTGATACAGGAGAACTCAGAGCAAAGATCATTCTCGACCGGGAAGTGCGAGCAAAGTATGAGGTATGTGAAAGGATGTCGGTTCTTTTCCACAATGTCATTTAAATTCAGTGTATTCTAACATTTATATTTGCTGTATGTTAGTGTGTTACAGGGCCATGTACTATTACATGTTTCTGAGTTAGGTGTTCCAAAGATTTACTCAAATATTACTGTATTTTGAATTCAATTGATTTTTGTCACAGGCGGATTGAATATTTTTTATCAAAAAGTACCATTTATAGTTTTACTTCTGAATAATGATATCAGTATGAGTCAAGAGGAATTTAAGAGAACTTATTTTGAATTAACTGGAAGCTGTCACTGTTGAGGTTCCTGGCAAAGAACTTTTTTCCCCCCCATAATTCTTTAAAAAAATGAGGTCCCATTATATTGTGTACCCCCCCCCCATAATTCTTTAGAAAAATGAGGTCCCATTATATTGTGTACTGGACATTGCGTATAATGTTTGTAAGATATTAATAAAATACAAGGTGATCCTGTTGCTAGAAGCTCCAGTCTTTCGGAAATTAAAACCACTGTTACATTTTCTGTATGTTGTCCTAATTTGTTTGTGTTTTTTGTAGTTGGTTCTAGTTGCTAAGGATCATGGTACTCCTATCTCACATGAGACACTTCGTTTCCTCACGGTGCTACTTGTAGATACAGATGACAACAGACCAGAATTTCCAGTAACTGAAAGTACAAGTCCTTACTCCTTCCATGTCACAGAAAATTCACAAATAAATGTCCTTGTAGGTATGTATAAAAATATAGCATTTGGATTGAAATGGAGTTTTGTATAATTGTATATCCACCAGTGGTACGCATACCATAGATTGAGAAACGCTGAACTATAGCATTTGAGAAGTGGAGAGTGATGCAGTTTGAAGTGACCTCTTTGTTCTTTCTTTCTTTTTTACAGGGAAAGTAACAGCAGCAGATCGGGATGTAGGTAAACATGCAAAGATCTATTATTACATCATGTCTGGTAATGAGAATGGAAGCTTCAGCTTGGATAGGACAACTGGCAGCATCTACACTAATACCTCATTTGATCGTGAGGAGACAGATGAATATAACCTGTTAATCAAAGCTACCAATTATCCGCAGTATTATGCATCTGAGGTAAAAAGAGATAGGGCACTCACCATGGGCCAGATGTATAAACTTTTTTAAAAAATCTTCTGTTATTCCTCTTTTCCTATTTGGTCCACATACCTAGCCCGTAGATTATGCATCAGGATAGTATTAAACACACTGCAACACTCTGTATGAGTGGATAATAGATGTAAGTTATATTTCAGAGGCTTGTTTTCAGTTGTTTTGACGGTTAATGACACTGGGGGCCTATCCCCCTTCGTATCTAATGGGTACCAGGGATATTTCCTCGGGGGTAAAGCAGCCAGTGTCTTGAGCTGTACCTCTGTTCCCCAATACATCTACCTGGCATGGTGGATAACTTTACCTTTACCTTACTCTAATTTTTAGTTTATATCATATTATTTTCAGTCTAGTGGTGTTTTAATTATCTTCTGCATTTGTTTTCTTTTTTCAGCCATTGTGTTCATGTTACATGGGTCAGCATTTACATATGAACTTTAATGAAGTCTAACTTCTCACTTTTTCAAACCCCAACCTACTGCATTCTCCTTTGTACATGTCACTTCATGTCTTAATTGAGCCACTCCTTAACATATTCATGACTCTGGCAGTGTTGTTCCTTCATTTCCAATTCCACTAATGTTTAAGGATGTACATATAAGTAGAAACTGTAGGTCCACATTTTTAAGTGTGTTTGCAACCATAAGTTGTCAGCCTCCAAATCTTGGTGAACGTGCCACAATTGTTACGCTATGTGTACATTTCCTGAAGTGTGTATAGAAACTGTAGGTCCACATTTTTAAGTGTGTTTGCAACCATAAGTTGTCAGCCTCCAAATCTTGGTGAACGTGCCACAATTGTTACGCTATGTGTACATTTCCTGAAGTGTGTACTATGTCCACATGCTCTTGTTGAAACATTGCTTTATAGTAAATCCTTGTATGTTGTGATTTCAGGCAGAAAAAAATAATTCAGAGAGGGACACAAGTATTGCCCATGTACGAATAACAATACTTGATGAGAACGATAATCCACCCAAATTTGAGCACTCCAATTATTATTCTGGTAAGAAATCAGTATAAACTCGTTGGTACCCACTTTTTCTTTGGTTGAGTCATTTTAGATTTTTAAATTTGTTGTGGTTCTGTATCTTTTTGCTAACACTTTTTAATTTGTAACTTTTGGAAATAGTTTACAGGGTTCATAAAAATGTCTTGTGTTATAAGAGTTGTGATAATAGAAGTGTGCAGGGATGGATAATCTTTCCATATACAACATTCAGATGGAGATAATTGAAATAAAATTGGTAAATAACTCACACAAAGATTATACTACTTATTACAGTGCATTCAAATTGTATATGATACTTATATTTTGTTTTATTTAAGGAAGTTTTTAAAATTGATCCTTTGTTTCTAGGTGTAAATGCAATGGCAAATATCAACGAATTTGTGGCAAAGTTGTCAGCATTGGATCCTGATGCAGGAGATAATGGAACATTGTCTTATTACATCAAAGCATCCAACTTGTTCAAGTTTGGCTCAAACCTTTCAAGGGGATCCATTATCCCATCCCCATTCAATGTGACAGAGGATGGTAAACTTGTGACTGCTAATTATATGGCTGAATACAATCAGGACAGATTTGTGCTGGACATCGTTGCCAAAGAAAAGGCTTTACCAGAACGAGAAGCCACAACCAAAGTTCATGTAAGAGAATGCCTTACTATTGTGCTTGTCCAGAACTTAGTGATAGCTAAGTATTATTTTGACTTTAACAGTGCCTCTTCTTTAGTTACGTATATTTTCTTATAGGCCACATATTACAAGTGTATTTAAGAGTAATGAGGTTATTTATGCCTGTATGGCAACAAAAGCATCCCCACATGATGTTTGTAACTTGGTGCAGCAAATAGCCATCAATTAAAATGTATTTTTACCATTCTATTTAGTGGGATGATGCAATGTTTAGTATAACATTTGGCTTTGGGCTTCAATAGGTTAAATGAATGTGAATGATGTGTAGTACGTAATGTGTTTTTATCTTTTATGTTCCATTGTTGGGTATTCTTCGCACTCTAGCATGAAGAAAAACACCCGAAATGCTCATCTGCATTTTTCAACAACAGTGGGACTATAAGTTGCCCTGTCATAACACATTGCTGCACAACAATGACTTCAGATTACATTAATGCAGTTGCTTTATGCAATAATGTTGCCTTTCATATGATTGTGGCATGAAGAACACCTTTGGAATATCAGTGTACTCAGAAGAGTACACCTTTTCAGTCATTCTAATTTTTATTACAGTATCATGCTGTACAATTCTTTAAATTGAATAATAGCAGTGTTAAGTTTTCTGATTCACGAAAAACTATGGTGGTTTAATTGATTTGTTATGTGATAGGTATGGATCTTTGAACCAAACCAACTTATCCGTGTAATACTTTCACGACCGCCTAAGGAAGTACACCATGAGAGAGATGAGATTATTGCAGAATTGTCCAATGTAACCGGAAGTCTTGTGGTTGTAGACGACATCAGATATCATGTGGACTCTTCTGGTCACATACATCATGATTGGTAAGTTATGACCTTGATACATTCTGTAAAGAACTTACATTTCTTGCAAACAGCTCTTAGACCTTCTTCATTTTTTAAATTTTTCATATATGAGCATAGTTTGAATCTGACGTTGAATTATGATCTTCTGGGTTGTGACATAATGTAGTCTTACAATGGTTACCAACATTTTAGAGGAGCATACTACCTCCATCTTCAGGTTTGTGACACTGTGTAGTCTTGTAGGTCGTTACCAACCTTCCTCCAAGACACCGGTAACCACTCAACAAGACTACGCAGCATCACAATCCAGGAGACGACAGTAAACATCTTTACTGTCGTGAGAATGTCAAATCAAAAAAATAATTCTGTTAAAGAAAAATACTTCTATAAGAATGCATCTTAGTTTACTGCTGTATAACTACATGAATCTGTAATTTTAATTTTCAAGGTGTGACATGTACCTCCATGTTGTGGATGGGCCAAGTCAGACCATTGCTTCAATACCTGAAGTACTGAAGGTTATAGATGCAAAATATGACTTCCTCAAGGATTACTACGCTGGATTTGCAATTGAAAATGTTCTGGTATGTATCACACTGCTCAGTAAACATTAGATGTTAGTGGTAATAGAGACAAAATTCAATAAATACCAAGTTCCACCTCTAGGATATGGAATGCAGGAGGACTCTCCATCAGTCCATTAATGAGTCGTGGAAACCAGCCACGCTCACGTTGAAGGAACAGGGAAAAGCATTGATAGGCATCGAACAAAACATCCTGAAGTTATTATTATAAATACATACAAGCAGCAATGGTGACGATTTCTTGTGTAATTATTTTTGTGTCACAAATGTAGTTGACTGTAAATTACTGTCATAATTATCTAATTTTTTATTTATATTATAAACAAGTATTGCATTTGTGCCGTGACACAACAACCTTGGCTACAGCCTATGAAGGATCTGTGAAATGCAAATAAATTGTATTATAGTCGGTTATATTTGGTGTATGGTCCTCAAAAAACTGTTTCATTGGTTAGGCCACCATATTATGAGCATTTGGGGGAAAAAATTAAAATCCCATATTAATTTCATTATGTTGAATACATGAAAGTTAATATTTTTCCCTCGGTTGTCTCTCTGACAAGAGACAGATGGACAGTTGGCTTTTATATGTCATGGGAATAAACAACAAGTTATTTATAAATTTCCAACCTTTTTTGAAAGGAGATGAGCATTATAAATAATTACTTAATTGTAATTTTAATAAAACTTTAGTTCTATGTGAATATTGAATAACTTAATTGTTTTTTGCTTCCTTATAGCCTGCGTTTGTTGGTGTACATGAAGAGCCGTTTGATCCAGCTCTGGCTGCTTTAATTGCTCTACTTATAGTGCTCTTTGTTGGTTGTATCACATTCGTAGTTGTCTGCTGCTGCCTCAGGCATTGGTAAGAAAACATGATTTGTCAATGAATTATGTAGCACTGTCTCACAATTCCTATGCTTCTTATTTTGCACCAAAACATTTTAGGTGTGTGTATACCCCCAGAGGACCCCTTGTTGAAAAAACTGTGTCCATCTTTCTGTCCATATGATTGAAACAGTGTGATATGGCTGAATAGATATTCATGAATAGTGATATTGGGGAATTTCACTAAAATTTATTAGTGCATTCTAATTTTGGTTAAAATCGGACCAACAGTAACCACGAAGATTTCTGTCTTCTGGGTTGTTGCGCTGTTTAGTCTGGTCGATGTTAACCAACGTTTCAGAGGTCATACTGCCTCTGTCATCAGGGCGATGACGGAGGCAGTATGACCTCTGAAATGTTGGCTAACACCAACCAGACTACACGGCGGAACAACCCAGAAGACAGTGTAATGTTTTTCTTTATCTTTTGTAGTTGTAGTAGATGTTATATTACCTCTGTATGTGCATTTCTGCATAAAGTAATGTTTTTTGGCTGTGTGTCACAGCTTAGGATTTAGCTGGCTGAAGCATTAACTCAAGGATTAAAATCAAGCCAGCACCTTATGGTTTTAAGATTTAATTTCTCTGTTTATAAATAGTTTGTCACTGCTAAGTATTTGACTACATGTTTAAGTATTAAGCTGTTACTAAATACTTAAGTTATGTTAGCACATATATTAAAAATTAAAATTAAATCCGTGGCGTAACAGCTCCAGAGAGCCAAAGCCTACTAGCTTGACCGCTGGCCTCATGTTCACATGTCTAAGCAGATCTATACTTCATTAAAAATCCTTTTTTTTAAAAGAAAAAAGAAAAGAAAGAAAGAAAGTTCTTCAGATGTTAGGCTTTGAGGTGCTCACGGCGATGAGTGCAAAGATGACTGTCTTCTGGGTTATGTGGTTTCATCTAATTTTAAAACAACCCTGAAGACAGAAGCAGCATATTCCTCCAAAATGTTAGTTTACAACCAGAATACTACTTTATTGATTCGTGTTACCATTAAATAAACAATTGTACATTGTAAAGAATTAAAACTAAGTTGATGATGAATTCAATATCTTGAATAGCATTTTGATTACTACTGCAGGTTTGCAAAATAAAGCATTAGATATCTGTTGTTAATTTCAGGGTGATTACAGCACCATCAGATCTCAAGAAGAAAGAAGCATTAATAAAAAAGGAAATAATTGATGATTTAAATACAACAGAGAATCCATTATGGATTGAACAGTAAGTTATGGACACTTGTTACCTAAATACAGCACCTTAGTATTTGAGCTTCATTAATTACCTCCATGAAATGAATGAACTAACTCATTTACAGTGCAAGTTCTCATGTGAGCGCTCAGCACTAGTTAGAACCCAAAATTTCATCTCTGTGACCCCAAGCCAATTCAATCCATACAGTCTGTTTTTGTAGCCTTTATTATAGATGGTCCATTGACATTTTGCAGGTGGATGTACCCTTTATTCTTTGTAATGACCTAACATAGCTCTTGTAAACATGGTAATAAATCTTTTGATTCCATAAATGGTGTTGAATTTCTTGACTAGGTTAGTGCGCTGCTATCTTCTTATGAAGGAATCTGTTTCATGGAATGACCACTTAAATACATTTATATTTTTAGAAAATGTTAGGTGTATTTAGTTAAGAGTAAATAACGTATGAGTGCTGTTTACTGTTGCAGAAAGCTGAAGCTGTATGAGGAACAGGAGCTGACGATGCAGGTGTTCTGTGAGCCAGAAAACTTGGGTATTGCAACCACATCACCACAGCCACCGATGGAAAGGCCAGAGAGTGAAGACTTCTCTCAGGTAATGCACATTCAAGTTCTTTATTATCTTTTCTTTTTTGTCGTGTTCTTTATTCAAATTATGTAAGATCAACATATAATTGGAATATCATCAATCCATTCACATGTTTCAGCCTCAAGAATTCTAATTGAATTTATATTAAATTTATTATTTTATTTCTACTGCATTAAAGGCATATTTAATTTTGGATCATATCAGACATGATTGCCCTGATGATGGAGGCAGTATTACCTCTGAAACGTTGGTAAACATCGACCAGACTATGCAGCGCAACAACCCAGAAGACGGGAATCTTCAACATGTACTATGTTTTTCACACACTAAGAAAGGGCACTACTGTTTTCTGACCGCCAGTTCATGTTGCATCCGTTTTAGGTAGACAATACCTATGCTACAATCCAGCATCCTACACGCCGTGGGTCTCTCAGTGCAGTGATGTCACTGCGAGAGGACGTGGGAGACTACGCAACATTGTCGGGAGGCATGACTCTACACAATAATGAAAGTGCTCATGGTTCTGTTCGAAGCACTCCCAGAGATGTAAGTACTTTTAATTTGGAAATTCTTCATAACATATATGAAACTTTTATTATAAACCTAAGCATCTTTCGAAGAAATTAGTTAAAATTTTCAAGCATCAGGACTCAAATTTGGAACATTTAGACAAATTTAAAAATTGCATTGTCTTCCAGTATTTTAAGGACATCTGGTATTAGTTTCACACCTGTGAAATTATCTTATATTTAAATAAGGCTGAAAATATATGCATATGAATGCAGGAAAACATTTTATGTATTCACACATATTTAATATTTTTTATTTATTCAGTTATACTCAGTTTGCTTATGTGGTGGATATGTGAAGAGTCATGTTATATCATGAGAAATGGAATTTAATTATGTAAATAGGTAGACTGTTCTGAATACCATAATGAATTTGGGTTCCATGAAATGTCAGAAATTTCTCGACTGACCTAGCAACTTCTACTTTCTCACCTCCACATAATTGCTCGTATAGTTACAGCATGGAAATAGTCACACTTTCATATATCATAAAATCACAAACTTAAATTTAATGACTTTTTTTTAGATTTGAGGCTTTCATGGCAGAGAGAAGTATGATGATGATCTGGGTTGTGGCTCTGTGTAGACTGGATCAGTGGTATTCGACCTGGGGTACACATACCCCCGGGGATATGCGAAGACATCTTAGGGGGTACGTGAAATTTAAAAAAAAAATGTATATATTATTTTATGATAAACACTGAATAATCAGGGCCAGATTTAGGGTTAGCCACAGGAGGACCAGACGTAAGGACATTCAATTTGGGGGATTATATACTATGTATAACTTGAATTATACACCAACAACTTTGGGGGTACAGAGTTGAAGAGAAATTATATCTGGCGGTACGCAAACAAAAAGGTTGAATACCACTGGACTGGATTGTAGGTGCTAAAGTTTTGGAGAAACTCTCTGTCTCCATCTTTATCCCCGAAGATGGACACAGTATGGTTTTTTCTGAAACACTGACCAGTCTGCACTGCACCAATATCCAAACGAGCAACATCATTAATGACTCTTGATTGCATCTCTGTATGTACAGATGTATGAGGCGTCATTAGGGTTCCAAGGATCAACATTTCAAGTTCCAGATCAGCCACTAGGTGGAAGTAATAATGTGGTGAGTGGCAGTAATGACCCATTTAGACCACGGACTGCCCTCACCATTAACAAGGACGGGCAACCTGAGTTTGTAGCAGAGCTTATCTAATATGTATATGCGGACGGATGCATTCTGGTCAGAGAATTGCCATTTTTAATGACGTAACTCATATCAATAATGTATCTATGAAGCAAAGTCAGTATTGTGATATTGAAACATGAACTGTTATATTGGATATAGCACTGAAATACCACGTTTATCCACATACCACACACCCCCAAATAAGATGGACATCCCAGTTTGTAGCGTTAAGAAAAAGTTATCGTTTTAATGAATGAATCTGATACTGAAGACCAGAAAGTGATTAATTATTTTGATATGACTAGTCCCACTTTGGAAATCTGCACAAGCAAACATTATGGTTGATAAAACTGCAATAACACGAATACCTAATAATGGCTAGGGTATCGTACATACAAATGCTTCTTCACTGCTTCTGTCACTACAATCAAAATTAAACTTATCATCACTGTCCCAGATGACAGGGAAGCCTTTTTTGCAACATTTGTTCTCTGTCATACACAGAAGTCAGTTGCTGTTTTAGCTTTGTATTCCAGGTTTTGTGCCTTCAATTGGAGCATTTTACTCGACACTAAATAACCAAAGTACTGCCACGGTGGTCTAGCGGTTAGAACGCTGGCCTTGTAATCCTGGGGTCCCAGGTTCGATTCCCAGCGGTGCCTGAATTTATAACTTGTGTTGGTCAAGGCAGTGGTCTAGGCAACACAGAGTTTTCCTCCAGGGCTTCCCCATTTTCTCTGTACATCCCAACAATTACTCCATTCACACACAGAAGAAGGCAATGGCAAACCACTTCTGTATCACCTGCCTAAAAACATATATGAACAGGTCCCAGTCCGAGAAAAGGATGGAAGGACCCTGTTCATAATATGTCACCAACCTCCTGTAAAGGAGACGGTGTAATAAAGAAGAAGAAATAACCAAACTCCTACCTTTCATTTATACATGAAGAAAGCTTTTCTTTGCTTTTTGCCCTTGAGAATGCTACTAGTGAGTGCTGCTCCGTAGAACAAGATTAGAAAGGTGGGATTTCAGATTCTTATGGTGGCAAGTATGAAGATAGGAAAGGTGTACTGTTTGGCACATTTATCTATTTTTTCTGATTCTCATTAGTTTCTCAGAGATGGTAAATGATTGTGGTTGCTATGCTTTATTAATTTCCAACAGCTGTGATTACCATAGACCCAAACAGTGCCGAAAGCCAATTGTGGATGTAGTAAAATGTCACTAAGATGATATAATTACCGTGGAATTCCTTGAAGTGACTGGCAAGAATTGACAATACGCCTCCACACCTCTCCTTAGATCCTGCTGCAAGAAAAGGTAAAGTCTTGTAGCTTATGCTTTTCATTTCACGTATTGGTTATCCTGCAAACAATATTACCAACTGCCTACTGCTACATTTTAGGAGCTGGCATAGCTCAGTCAGTATAGTGACTGGCTGTGGACTGGGCGACCAGGGTTCGATCCCTGACGGGGGCAGAAGATTTTCCCTCTAGCCTCTGCGTCCAGACGGGCTCTGGGGCCCACCCAGCCTCCTATCCAATGGGTACCGGGGTCCTTTCCCGGAAGTAAAGCATGGTTGGGGTGTGATGCTGACCACTCACCCCCATCTAGTGCCGAGGTCAAGAATGAGTAGGAGCTATATCTCCTCTCCCCCCAAGCGAATACATGGCGTATAGTTTGACAGCTTTACTTTTTTACTGCTGCATTTTATACAATTTCATGTATAGAATTTTGTGCTACACAAGTCAAATCATCCAATTTGATGAGCATCTAAATTTGATTTCATTATGACATTTCAGTCAGGGATATTGGGTTTTTGGATTGAGATCAGCTGTTTCTATCAGACCCAACAGAGTAGGTGTCCCTGCCCCATGCACCTGAAGACAAAAACAGATCCTGTTTTCGAAACATCGTGCGCATTTTAACCTTGGACGATGGACAAAGTCCAAAAACTCAATAACCCCAATTATATCGCACAGTCGTCAGGACCATACAGAATCCTGACATTTCAGTGTGTGGTGTTTGGATAAATCGGGTATTTAAGAAAAATCAAGGTGACAATACTATAGAAAGAGATCTCTAGAAGGATTGTTCTAGTGTGTGTTGAAGTTTGTTAAATGATAATTTGTGAATATATTGAAATAGGAATTTGCAAATGAGGTTTTGAGGAACTTTTGCACAAGACTGTTACAGTGGACATTGTGGATTCATCCCTCTTACTTTTGTAATTGTGTGCTTCTTGAGTGGACATCCAGGGAAATGCATTTAAAATTATGTATGCTCTTGTCTTTAGATGTGATGGGGTTCTACTATCACCAAAATGCCTCCTAATATCCCCATTCCAAAACTAACAATTTAATGACCAATTACATTTTCATCTCACCTTGGGCATTTCCCCATACAGACACCATAAGGTTTCTTAAAATAACTTAGTATACACTGTTAGAAGTTATACATATTTTTACCATGGAGTTTATTAATGTTGAAAGTTTCTAATGAAAAGAACACTTTGGTATTTGTAGAAAAATAATTCTGGTAAAGAATGGCTCTTGTATGGGAAGAGGTAAAAAAAAGAATGCAAAGTCTAAAGTCTCACTGTAAAATCCGAGTGCCAAATGCACAGAAGTGTTTGTGGTATTTTATACATAATCGTGAAGAAAATAGTAGGCCATTATTTTCTCGCTCATTTTCACAATGGTGAACAGTGATGGTTTTAGCGGTTATATAAATCAAATATCAGTAAACATAAGTAAAGCTTAATTTATAACATAGGATTTTCAGGTTGTTGATAAAATGTGACTGGTAATTGTAATATAAAATATAAAGGTGTGGGTAATTAGGTAAAAAATATGTTATTAGGTCATCAACCTGCACATACATGACTATAATTAAGCTTTGATTATGTTGAGCTGAAACTATATTTTTTATTTCATAATATGAAAATAGGTGGCTCAATAATTTACTCATATGACTGTACATATGTGTTCAGTGTTAAGGATTAACATTTCCTTTGTTGTAATTAAAATGTGTACAAATGTGGCAGAGTTCTGTTTCAGATGCAACTGAGTGTAACATACTTTATTTATATTAAACAGAATTTTGTTTATGCCCTTTCAGTCTCATGAATATGGATTGCCTATAAGTACCTTTTGTTGCCATGTGGAATATTTTGTTCAAAACGTCGTTTTAGTGAAGATGTTGGTTGTTCTTAACATGTTCCCTGCTGCTCCATCCACACGTGTGTTGCTGTAATCAAAACGATCTTTCGTGTCTGAATCATTCACAGTGCATTTCAGTTTCTGATCACTACAGTGGCACTCAGATCAAGTTTTATGTAGATTGTGTTCATATAGTCATCTATATAATGAGCAGAATGAGAATCCTATATGGCGTACATAGCAGACTGTATTATGACAGGAATGATGGTCTTATATGTGGCTTATATAATAACCTATTTTATGATCCGTCACGGACCAGGTCTCGGCGAGGCTGGGTCTCCGTGGGGCCAGGTATCGGCGAGGCCGTGTCTCGGGGAAGCTGTGTCTTGGCGAGGCCCAGACCACGTCAGGAAGAGACCGAGTTCAACAGGTACTGGGTCCGGCAGAGATTGGGCCTTGGCGAGGCTGAGACTAAGATCCGGCACACACCATGTACTCGGACTGTGCCTCACACTATCTCTGCTTTAAACGCACTGTGCTTCTCCATGTCTCACCCTGAAAAGGCCTCTACTTCTGCCGGTCTCTGCCTGATTCGGTATCTGCAGCACACAGTCTCTGCTTCACACGGTAAGTGCTTCAATGTGTGTCTGTTTGACATGGTCTGTGCTTCAACCAATCTCTGCCTAACTCAATCTCTGCCACACGGTCTCTGCAAGACCGTTTCTGCCGCACATTGTCACTGCCTCACTCGGTCTCTTCAGGAGCCGAAATTTACAGCGACGGCTCGTCACAAACCGGATCTTGTATAGACTGAGTGCGGCAGAGACAGCGTCCCTTTGTGACAGGCTACGATTGAGACCAGGTGCGGCAGGAAACGATTGGGGTGAAATATGAAGAAATATTCAAATTTTTGAAAATTATCTAAGATCGAAAAATGCAGCAAATTGTCTAAAAACAGCACAAAACTAAAAAATTTGAAATATCAGAGCTTCAAAATGTTTTTCAAGTATTTCGAAAATTTTCAATTTTTTTTCAAAGGTCTCCTCAAGAGATGCATGCCAGTCTCGGTGAACGCCACATACTGTCTCTGACGGACTCCGAATCAGTCTCACCAAGTGCTGCCTGCATCGGTGTCTGCACCAACCG